TGGAACATCTGGGTGAGTCCCACGCTGCTTTCTTTCGAACAGACGGAACTGATTCTTTAAATGGAACTGACAGAGTCAAAGAAGGAGTCTAATGTGGTAAGAAGCTGTTAAGAGATTAGCGTTGGCTTTTGGTGGAAAAACAATGATGCCAAATTACAGACACATCTGCCACACACTCAGCAAACCATCAGAGGAAGCCAGACTTTCCTCCCATTTGGCTTCTTGGACCCTTTTCAATTTTCAAATAGAATATACTGTCCTAGTTATTCCCTACGTGCATTTTCTTTCAATAAACCCGGAACAAACTTAGAAGGCCTGACAGTGATTCCTAGAGGAACTCTCTTTATTTTTTTCCAACTACTTACCCAGCAGGGAGTCAGAGTCACACCCTCTATTTCTGTAGTGCTTTACGGCTTTCAAAATTCTTCAAAGGGCGTTCATCTGATAAACAACAAGCTTCAGCTCTTTAACGTCTCTGCGCAGAGCAACGCTGCGAAGCCAGGGCGTACATTCTTGTCTGCTGTCCCGTTCATTCATTCATTCAGTAAACATTGCCTACGACGCTCCAGTCACGGTTCTAAACCCTGGGAACACAGCAGTGGGAAAAGAAATAGACAAAACCCCTGACCCCCTGTCACTGACATCTTCATCAACACAACATGACTGTTTTACATATTTCTGGTCAGTTACGGGCCCACGGATAGCAAATGGCTTAGTTTTCCTCTGTGCTGCATTAAGTATGAAAGGGGGTTTAAATAATTTTTTGAAGGCACAAGACCCCAAAACTGATATATCGAGAAGGATGAGCTCTCAACAGTTTGGGGAAAGTTTATTAATTCATGAAGAAAAAAAAAATCCAGCTCCTTTGAAGTATTTCTCAAGTAGGAGAGCAGATTTCCCGTTCATCATCAATCTGGCAGAGAACAAGAACATCCCAGGACTTCTTACAGCCATTCATCACACATAGATTTGCAGCCCAGATTGCATTTGTCTTCACTTGAATACGTACATCAACTCTTAGACATTAGTAAAATCATCTAAATTTTCTAGACTAAACCCACACACCACGCACACGTGCTCACATCTTGGAGAAGCAAAGTGAAGTTTGCTGTCAGTGTTCTATAAGTTAATAATACGATATGCTTAAAACAGCACCTGGCAAAGAACAAGCATTCAAGAAATGTTACCTAGTATTATTTTTCACTACATTTAAAGATGAGAAAACGGAAGTCCGGAGAGGGAACTTGCCCAAGGTGCAAAGCTGGCAGGTGACTGAAGAGGGACCTGGTCCTTCTGGGGCTACTCCTGTCCAGTCCGTCCTGCACACTGTGGAATCAGTTGGCCATATCATCTTAAGGAACAAGAATGGAGCAGGTAATCCAGCATCCATTAGTCATAAGCCTAACCCCTTGCTCCTTTAGAAAGAGGACAATAGGGTTCTGGAAATATCAGACATAAGATCCTCCTTTTAGGGGAGAAGGGCCAAGGTCACGGTGACCAATGGGTCTGGGGAGGGTGACATTCTCCCCTGGGGAGCCAGGACAAGTCTAAGGGAAACGCTGGAGACAGACCTGCCAGCTTTGTGACTTGCCTGGGGATTTCACTTTTTCTGAACCTCACCAGACAAATGTCCTGGGAATGAGACAAAAACAAGCAGACAAGGAGGAAACATCACAGCTATGAAACTCCTGATGTTTGGGAACCTCTTCACGCCCGGGTACTGGAAACCTGTCTCTGGAAGGTCTGTGGGAATGGGCACAGCTGGTGAGGGGGGAAGAGAAATAAGACGAAGCTTCAGGGGAAAATCTGTCCTTCAGTTCCAATTGGTCATCTAAACATTTGATCTACGTTAGCCCTCTTCTCACCCTTCATATGGCTCCGTACTGCTAAACTTTTGTCAACACTGCTGACCTTGCTCAAGCACCATTCTCCCAGATTCGCTTTAATTACTGAAACACTTACCCAGTGGAATAGAGGCATGGCTAGTTAGCATTTCTAATTTTTTAGACCTACCCTGCTGGAGAATAGAAGGGACCTTGAGGGGGATGCATTTTTTGTTTAAAGGCATCCATCCCTTCCGAGGCTCAGCGATAGGGAGTTCATAGGATCTCCAAGGACACAGACACTGTGCTACAACTGCCCACCATAAAGCCTACTGGGAGAGTGTCTTCCCTGTCTGCAGCTGGCTCTGGGGGTATTAGGAAGAAAGTACTCTAACTCCAGTCTGCTGCTTTTTTGGGGCTATCGGAACCTCTTCACCCTGGAGGGGCTGTCAGAGCCTGGAACCACCTCCTGGAATGGTCCCTGCAGAGTGAGAATCAAAGTTTCATCTGCATGTGTGGTCTGACCATTGTCGCCCTGTACGTTCAGTCTCTCATCTTCACCCTTGGTGGGGGGCTGCTACAGCCCTCCAAACACTGAAGGCTCACCCCTCTCATGCTGCTGCTTGTAAGTGGTTTCGATTTGTCTGAAAGCTGGATACTAGATAAGTTCTGGCTTTAGTTACAAAACCCAAAGGACGCTGGAGAGCCAGGCACGTGTGCCAAGCCACTCTGACCGTGATCATTGAGGACCTGGTTTGCAACTATAATCCTTACAGTTTTAGAAAGGAATGTCACTAAGAGGCCAGAAAGAATCATCTGGTGTCACATGTGGTAGATATATTGGTTAAAAAAAAAGTCTAATGATAAGAGAATTATGAACTCTTTGTGACTTAAAAGATGCAAAATCATCAAGCATCCTTCAGATGACAAAAAGCATATACAAAAGTTTAAGAGATTCTGTTGCCCTCTGTCTGTAAGTACCCCCATGAGCCCAGGGAAGACTTTGGACCCTTGAGAGAACTGTGTCGAAGTGATAATCCTCCGGGGACAGGAGGTGACAGATGTACTGAACCCTCCTTGAGAACTGCTTTTCCTCCAGCAGCACCAAGTCACGGAAAAACGGAGCCGTGTGCCTTGGCAAAACCCCTTGACTCACGCTAGACCTCAAGTTCAAAAGAAGGTTAAGAGTCGCATAGTGCGCACCACCCATTACAGGCTATTTGTGGAAAAGCCTAATGTGTATTTTCCTTAAAGGACGAACATATGTTGAGGAGATGAAGTTGGCCATCTGCTGTTTAAAGGATCCACATCATAAACAAAGCGAGGAAGGGCAAAAGGACAGTTTCACAAACAAGTATTTGACTCAAGGGGAGACGTGCTGAGAGGACAGATGAAAATGATCTACGTGGAGCACTGAGTGAGGTCACGGCGCCCAAGGTGAAAGGAAAGTCCCGCCTGCTCCAGTGATGCGTTCACTTCCCTGCCGACCACAAACCTACCCAGTAAGCCATGAAATTGCATCTGGAGGCAAACTGTGGCCAATTCCAGGAAGATCATTTATCATTTTCAGGACTGGCTTTTAAAAATTAAAAATAGGAGAGACTCCCTGAAAAACTAGATACTTCATGGTGGGACGAGTTTCACTGGAAGAAGAAAGAAGCTGCATTTAACTTGCTAGTTACAGAACTAGAGCTGACGTGAGGATCATCTAAAAGGACCTCCAAATATGTTAGCTGACCCCCTCCCCCGATGTTTGCAGACCCTGGCCTTCTGCACCCAGGGGCTACCCGGTGAGTGCCGTGAGGTGTTTCCGTGCCTTCCAGAAAGAATGACACCCAGTCAGATTACCTCTGCTTCCTGATGGCATCTTCCTTGAACCCGCACCAAAATCCCCCCACCAGCCCAAATCCCATAATAAGTGATTTCTAAACCCCCTTACTGAGATATCCCATCATGCCCCGTGGAGTGAAGCCGCCCTCGCTGGAAAGAACTGGTAAGTGCAAAGTTTCTCCCACTGCAGGTGGATTTCTGGCCATCTCTGACCCAAGGACACTAGCAATGTAGTAACAGAGCAAAGTGCTGGTACCATCTTACAGTTCAAACGGAGGCAGGCCGCTCGCTCGCACTGTGTCCATACGTATCACCCAAAAACCTAGCTAATATGGGAAGCCCAGCCAAAGTTCTTTTAAGATTTATCCTGAATCATTCTTTAAAACGGTATCAAAAATCTCTACTCAATGTATATTTGTAGCTTGTTTCCCTGTCTCTATATCTAAGGAGGATTCTAGGTCATCCTTCCTCTCCCTGCACACGTTTCAGAGTAGGAGAGATGCTGACGGGCTTGTGGCTCAGCTCTGGGCCTTGGATGGTTCAATCCAGGCAGTGGTGAGAACCACAAAGCAAATGAGACTCATGGGAGGTGAAATCAACCCACGTGATCAAGAGCTGGGCTGGAAAATGGAGGCGGGAAGAGAGTCTGCATCAGTGGGGTTTAGAAGGGCCAATTTTGGAGGTGACTTTGGAGTCAGGAAAGAGAAGACTTTGAAGCAGCTGCAGTTGTGGAGAACTCAGATGTGGATATGACGAGGGAAATACAAGTTTAAAGAAACGTTCCTGTGTTTTTATAAAATACCCCCCCACCCTCTCTCCCGTTTGCTTTCTTAAAACAAAAATCAAAACAACCTGGTCTTTTGGCGATATAGAGAACAAACTAGTGGTTACCAGTGGAGAGAAGGAAGGGGGAGGGGCAAAGAAGGGGGAGAGAGTTAAGAGATGCAAACTATTATGTATAAAATAAGCTACAAGGATGTATTACACAACACTGGGAAGCTAGGCAATATTTTATGATAACTATAAACGGAGTACAAAAGTTTGAATCACTAGATTGCACACCTGTAACATACAATACTGCTCAGCAACTATACTTCAAGAAAAAAGAAATTACATTGCGTGAAGCGCCCATGGGCGGCTGGACGCGGCGCTCGGGCTCAAGCTCCTGCCTCCCCAGACCACCACGGCTGTCATCCCTCTGTCCTTGTCCAGTCACCTCAGGGGCCCTCCGGACCCCCACCAGTTGTACCGTGGCGATGACTCGAGCGCAGGTAAGAAAGCGACGGAGTTGGGAAGAGGCGTCTTCTCCTGGTACCTTCCCGTGCAGCACGCCGTGATGACGTAGCGAGGGCGGGCTGGGGGCGGGGCGTAGCGCTCCGTGATGACGTATCGCCAGCGTGCTGGGTGGGGCGTAGCGCTCCATGATGACGTGATGCGGGCAGGCTGGAGGCAGGGCGCAGAGCCAGGGGGAAACCGGATGAGGCTAGGGGCGGCCAAAATGGGAGTGGTGAGCATGATAAATGTGTGAAGCCTTTCAGCCATTGCTGACCCACCGAGGGCGCCCAGGGAAAGGTGCTGCTTGCTGTTAGGAGTCGCTAAGCTACGGAGCCGGGCTAGTCCCGGGCCGCTGTGTGGCCACTTAAGCTCTCTGTCTTAGGATGGCCCCCTGACTTGGCGCAGGCACGGTACCCTGAAAGGCTTTGTTAAAAAGAGGAACAGATTCCGCTTTGGGGAGCAATTCACCCAGGGCTGCAGGCTGAGCTTGGCCGAGAGAGAGAAGAGATGAGTGAAAGGAAGGCCCACGGACAACCTCATGGTCCCACACTGGCCTTCTGACCTTCTTGATGGCCACCATTCCCGCCCCACCCCTTCCTCCCCTTCCTGTCCTAAACATGTCTTTTGTCCCTTGGAAGAGCATCCCCAATTTACATCAACTGAAACAGAAGGAAAAAAGGAAAGAAGGAAAGAAAAGAAAGAAAAAAAGAACAAGAGAAAGAAAGGAAGGAAGGAAGGAAGAAAGGAAAGAAGGAAGGAAAGGAAAGGAAGGAAAAAGAGAGAGGGAGGGAGGAAGAAAGAAAGACATTACTAAAAATTTTAAAAATAAAAAGCAACTTTCTCTTTTCGGACAGATGGTGGGAAAGATTTCATGTTCTTTTAATTGTTTGCTGTTGATGGTGTTTTTTTTTTTTAATCCTCCCCTCCCCACCAGTGACTGTGCCACAGGACAGCTCAGCCTTACACAAATTATATTTAAAAGTGGGCTCAATCATAAAAAAAGAATAAAATAATGTCATTTGCAGCAACATGGATGTACCCAGAGATGACTGTACTGAGTGAAGTAAGTCAGACAGAGAAAGACAAATACCGTATTTCTACGTGGAATCTTATAAAAAAAAATGACACAAATGAACTTATCTACAAAAGAGAAACAGACTCACAGACATAGAAAACAAATGTGGTTACCTGCTGGGGAAGGGGGTAGGGGAGGGACAAGTAAGGAGTTCTAAATTTTTCTTTTTCTTTCTGGCTTACTTCACTTAGAAATATGATCTCCAGGCCCACCCATGTTGCTGCAACTGGCATTATTTTATTCTTTTTTATGGCATAGTAGTATTCCATTGTGTATATATACCACATTCTTCTTTATCCAGTCACCTGTCGATGGACATTTAGGTTGTTTCCATGTCTTGGCTGTTGTAAATAGTGCTGCTGTGAACACTGGCATGCATGTAGTTTTTCAAATTAGAGTTCCCTCTGGATATATGCCCATGAGTGGGATTGCTGGATCATAGCGTAAGTCTATTAATAGTTTTTTGAGGAATCTCCATACTGTTTTCTATAGTGGCTGCACAAAACTACATTCCCACCAACAGTGTAGGAGAGTTCCCTTTTCTCCACACCCTCTGCATCATTTGTTTCTGGATATTTTAATGATGGCCATTCTGACTGGTGTGAGGAGATATCTCACTGTGCTTTTGATTTGCATCTCTCTGATAATTAGCGATATTGAGCCACATGAGAGCGGTTTTCCTGCACAACTGGTACTTCACCCTCTTTACTTCCCCAAAGAGGCAGAGTAACAGCAAACACTTAGCACTTACTGGGCATCTGGGAAACGGCTAAGTGCTGTTCATGTATTGAGTTGCTGAATCCTTATACAAACTCCACAAGGTCTGTGTCACAGCATCGAGGGGTCAGGAAACCTGCCTGGGATCACAAAACCCACATGTGGCAGCAGCAGGGTCTGACCTTTGACCCACGCCATCCAGTGCCAGTGCCCCGGCCAGGAGCCCTTGGGCCAGGCTGCCTGCATGTGGCAAGACCTCAGGAAGTGTTTTCCCAGTCAAAGAATGAATGAACACTCAACAAAACGAATGCAAGGCAACCTATTTGGTGTGCAGTTAGCCAACCCAGCCACAGTGGTTGGCTTATCTGACATTCAGTTGCCTCAAATTCACCGCATTGGGAAGAATTTTCAGGCAGTCATCGCTCACTTTTTTCATTCATCCAACATTTTCTGCAGACTGTGCTAGGCTCAGGGCTGGAAACACATGAGTTTGTGCCCTTGAGAGTCCACATCCTTCTGTGAGAGGAGCTTGCAGGTGCTCACCATTTGCATTGGGGGTGGGGAGTGTAGAAATACAAAACTAGCTGAAGTGTTGGCTTTGTCCCTGCTGAGCCATGACTGAGGAGTGGTTCAGTCCAGGGTGAGTCTCCCCTCCCCAGCTGGCACTTCCTGGAGACATTTTTGGTGTCACAACTTGGTGGTGCTGCATCAGGGTGGGTGGGACCAGGAATGCTACCAAACATCCCACGGTGTCCAGGACAGGACAGGCTCCATGGCAACGAGTTATACTGCCCCAAATGTCCACAGTGCCAAGATCAAGAAACCCGGTACCAAGTCCTGGAAACCAGTGATTACAGACAACAAAATGGCATTATAAACATTCAACTTTGGTGGGCAGGGTATAGCTTAGTGGTAGAGCACATGCTCAGCATGCATGAGGTCCTGGGTTCAATCCCTAATACGTCCATTAAAATAAATAAGTAAATAAACCTAATTATTACCTCCCCCCCAAAACAAACATTCAAAAAAACAAGCAAACAATAAATAAAATTTTTAAAAATTCAACTTGCTAAGAGACTAGACCTTAGTTGTTTCCAACACTAGAAGAAATGAGAACCGTATGACGTTATAAAGGTGTTAAGTGATGCTGCAATTGTCATATAAACACATCAGATCAATATGTTGTACACCTTAAACTTTCACAAGGTCGTGTATCAAATATAACTCAATTTTTAAAAACCAAAGATCAACAACAACAACAAAAACTCTCATTTAAGAGGGGGCTTCTCAGACTCCTCAGGGAAAAGGCCTGAGTAACACTGAGGAAAATAAACCGCAGCACAGATAAGGAAATAAACAAAGCAGCCACAGCAAAATAAAATCCAGTTTAACATACACCTTGAATCTGCAGTCTTGGCAAGTTAATCTTATCACTGGGAATTGGGCAAGTGCTGTCCATCGGGCTCTCAGGCTGGAAGGAGGGAGATTCAGTTTCCAGCCACCCCCAGAAGTGCCCTCGGGAAGCTCTGTTAGCTCGCCTGCATGCCACAGGGTGGAGGTTTTAAAAGGAGAAACTGCTTCGTGTGAGGTGGAACAGACTTCTAAACCTGAGGTGGACAGGACACCTGGCTCAGAACACCCATCCTATTTCAGAGGTTAAAGATGGACCCAGAGACCAACCTGCAGACCAGGCCTCTGGAAAAGGGAGACATGGTGACTGACCCTTTCCTGACTGCACAGGACGCCCCCAGCATGGGCTGCTCTTGGGGCTCAAGGTGGAGGTCCTTACCCCCTAAATACTCCCACCCAACCCTCCAGGAGAGGATGCAGTCACTCACACAGGACAAAAGGGGGTAACAGACAGAACAGCATTAGCATCCGTGCATCCAGATCCCAGCTCTATTCAGTATCTTGTAGTGACTCACGGTGGAAAAGTGTATGACAATGAATATATGTGTGTTCATGTATGACTGAAGCACTGTGCTGTGCACCAGAAACAGACACAACACTGTAAACTGACTATACTTCAATAAAAAAATATATATACAAAGAGATTAATAAATATCTCCCTTCACACCTTTTGCTCTGTTTAGACCTGTCTACATCCCCCTCACAGCTTAAAAACATGAAACCGTTGTCTTTCTTGAGTATTTTCATCTCTGATTGCCCCTACTTGGACCTCTGTTCCTTACAATAATTCTATCCACAACCTCATCACTGCATCTGTCCCTCCCGACGCTAATCGTACAGATACACAGCATTTTCCAAAATGTGAACTCCGGGGGAAACACAGGATTAAACAATGTTCAACAGAAGTGAGATGTTTCATTTTAGCAGGATGCCTCAAAACTTTGGTTATGCATCACATTATGAGTCTCCAAGAGGGAACTCTAAACTTGCAGTATATTTTTCAAAGCTGTTGGAACTTTGGAACTCCCCTTTTCCTGGAGTATCTCCGGGTCCCAGTGGTCTGCAGATCACACGTTTGGAAATGCTACTGAAAGGACTTGATGGAAATGAAATGGCTTCACTGCTAGAGAGGGAGCATCTTGGAGACTGCATCTCCAATAATCTCACGTTGTCCGTTGATGTTGATCTGGAGTTTCAGTATGATACGACACTTAAACTTGAGCATGAAATTATCGGAGCTAAATGTGCCTATTGTACCCGCTTAATTATATTATGATAAAAACATTTTGGCGACATCACAGCTAAAATAACTTCATAGACAGCAAAATCTGAATAGCCTAAATTTCCCAGCGTACCAAGTACCTGACTATATTGAGTCTTCCAGTTAATTTTGGCATAAAAATATTTATACTTTAGGCATAAAAATATTTATACTATGTATAAAATCTTAAAGGTCTACTTAAAACAAGTTTTTATGATTTGAATTATTTATTTATGCAGGATGTTTGTTTTATTCAGTGATAATTATACAGTCCTACAAAAGTGGAGGGTTCTGAGGGTTTGGCTTGACTCTTTTCTGATCCCCAACATATCCTAGAAGCTTTTTTTTTTTTTAAATCAACAAAAGCTAGTTTTCTGGACATTTGTGTTGCATCTCAGCATTTCTGGCAGGCTAATAATTCCCAGAACACCCGTATCCTATTGCTAATGAACCTGCAACATTGACTGTCTTTAAATAAAGCGACTCTCTGTATCACATAGACCTCCTTTTCTGCCACTCCCCCACCAAAACCCCAGTAGCAGACAATTGGACCAGGCTGGGTAGCTCACCAGAGCTTGGCCAATCAGATTCCTTTTCATCGAA